CGGGCCCCGCCCCCGCACGTGACCGTTCGCTACGCCGGGGGCGAGCGGCGGTCTCCGGAGCCCGAGCGCAGGCGCCCTAAACTGAGGAAGAGAGTGGGGAATGAGCCACGGAGAGTTCTATCTGGACTATAGAGCGCGGGGCTCTTGAATGTGTTCAGGACCAGATTTTAGCATTTTCTTTTGCTTTTCTTATTTCTAAAATGATACTGATGATAAAAAGTACTGAACTCAGTTATTGGGAAAGTGCTTAGAATACTACCAGGCATATAGCAACTAAACAATTACGAGCTCTTATTTTTGCTAGGGATTTTACCTCCTGTCATACTTGGCGACTTCAGGGTTTTATCAGAATCATCGTATACGGCTTCGCAGGTTGTGTACTGCATAACGCCAGGCGGCGCAGTTCACAGAGAGGATTACGTGAGCAGTGCCCCACTTTGTGTTGTACAAAACTGGTCACTCATCCAAAATGAGAATCTGTCTTATCAGGTCTTTGACCACCTTCTCATCTCAATGACAGTCCTTGTCTCTAACTGTCCACTCATTCCCTAGGTCACACCCCTGTTGTTGTGGCCATAAACTGCCCCACCTGCCAAATCTCCAATGTGTCTACCCCATCTCCCCTGCCAAGTGCCCGTGACTCTGGTTTACCGGATGACCCCTACCGTAACAGTTCTTTATTCTCCCAAGACCTCCAGCCCACAGGCCCCATTAATATTGGCCCCTTTGGTTTCATGCCCACACAGTTCAATCCAGGTTCCAAGGTCTACCATTGCATTGTAAACCCTTTTAAAGGAAGGTCCTCTGGGTAGCTTTCATGAGTAGAAAGATTACTCTGAAATTAATTTGATTTTTTAAACTAATATTCAATTTATTAAATTAGAAATCTCAAAATTGAATTCTTAATTGAACTGACAAATTTTACAATCCGTTCATAAATCTAGTAAATTTTAATAGTCATTTCATTGGTCCCATTAATAAACTTGGTTAAATTTCTCTGAAGATTTAAAACTGCATTTATAAATTTAATAATTCACTTTCCTTTAAGCATCACAATTTGCTAACAAAGCCTTTTGAGTCCTTATGTAATTCTCGTAAATGAAATACTCATATGTTGAATCATGAGTTCTTTTAAATGTTAATACAAATTTAATAATAAAACTTAAAATAATGTCTAAACTATTATGCAAATACATATTTGTAATTAGTACCACGAGAATCTGTTGGAATTCTCAAAATTATTTTAAATATTATAAGAATTTAAAGAACCACATTTACATAGATCACCTATGTAATGCAAAAATATAAGCACTGGGAGTTTAAAACAATTTTAGTCATTATTCTAAATCACATTTGAAGTTAAAAGATGCTTATTGCCCGAAGAAAGAATTGTTATCCCAATTTGGGAGTAAAAGGCTCAAGCACTTTGGGGTATTTATTTCCTTCTGTCACTGTGCTGGCCCATGTGCCAGCTAATTCTTGCATGTACTAGTGATGGGACAGTGACCTGCTTGCCTCTTCACCATTGCAGCTCTAGGGATAAATAGTGCATGGTCACTGTGAAGCTTGGGCAGCTCTCATCCTCCATAAAACAAGGAAGTGGCTGGCTCTCAGGAAAAGGAGAGTGTCAAGCTACTGACAAGAGCTCAGCAAGATGAACAAGGTATCTCATGGAGATAACCAGCTCTTGTCCTAGGCTGATGGTACACCATCTTCTGGGAAGTACATTGCCTAATTGCAGTTCATCACCATGGAGCTCTAAATGTCAGCATGATCAGGAATGCAAGTCATTTTGCCTCCTAATTCCTTATGCCCACTCTTTTTGAAAAGAGCTCTCGGTGGCAGATGAGAATTTCAGAAAGCCTTCCTGGGTCAATAGAAACAAGCCTGATTCGAGCATTATGATGGTCATGCCCATTGCCCTGTAGCTTGTGTTTGAAGCCTGTAGGTGAGCCAGAAGCTGCTGAGCTGGTTTCCCATGGGACCCAGGACACTGAGAAGCATAAAGATCTTGTAAGACCCCAAATCACAAACATGGAGACGACTAAACCTATTTGTTTGCTCAAAAAATATTCATAGTCCTTACACAAACCAGGCCCATGCTGGGACCCAACATAATGTTTTAGTCTTTGCTCTCCTGGACAGCTCAGGTTGGTAGAGAAAATGGACTCTTCAGCTTATAAGAGGTGACAAGTACTAGGAACGGAGGAATTTTAGAGGGCTGTAAAAATCCAAAGAGGAGCACCAATCACACACAGGGGCAGGAGAGGGCGACGAAGGAAAATTTCCTGGGGTAGTTATTTCTAAGCTTATATATGGGATCTGTAGCAAGCACTGTCAGTTGATGTACGGAAGGGTGTTTTAGGCTAATAGCACAGGCACTGTCGTGAAGCCAAGTGAAAGCAGATCAGTATAGAAACTGGAAGTGCTTTAGTGTTTTTACATCACAATATGAAAGAGAAAACGGACTTTCATACTAATGAGGGCAGAGAAGTGTGCAAGGGCAGGACCTCTTAAACCATACTCAAGAGTCTGGACTAGGTGGAGTCAGCAGGGTGGAATTAAAGAATTTTAGCATTAAATGTAGTCTCTGAAGTAATTTAAATTAATCCTCATTTCCAATATAAGACTCACTTCCACTTACCCATACAAATGTTTATGGAGCACCACACCAAACCTGTGTGTGCCAGGCTGTAAGCTGGGATGTAGAGTGACAAATATTGCTCAGCCTCTTATGGAGGAGACAAGACCAAATGAAGAGGTGAGAAAGGACAACTTGTAAATCTGGGAGAACATGTTAAATCTCAGAAACCAAGAAATTAATGATTAATGTAGGAAATGGGGGCATCAGTTAGTTCTGTGGTAGGCGGAATGCTAAGATGGTACCCAAGATTCTCACTCCGTGGTGTACATGCTTGCATAATCCCTTCCCCCTGAGTGTGGGCAACACTTGGATGATGGGATCTCTCTTGTGATTAGGTGATGTTATAAGGCAAAGATGAAGGGATTCTGCTTCTGCAGATGTAACGAGGGTCCCTAATCTGTCGACTCTGAAACAGTCATAAGTGAGATTGGCCTGGGTAGACCTAATCAGGAGAGTCCTTTAAAAGAAGGTGTACACATTCCCTGAAAGAGAAATTCAAAGCAGCAGAGATATTCTCCTGTTGGCCTCCAAGAAGTGAACTTTCATGTTGTAGAGAGGGCCACAATGGTGGGCAGCCTCTAGGAGCGGTGGTGGGTCTCAGTCCTACACCAAAAGGAACTGAATTTGGCCAACAGTAAGCTTGGAAGAGGGCACAGAGCCTCAGTTGAGATCACGGCCTTGGCTGACAATTTCATTTAGCCTGGTGAGACCCTGAGCCAAGGATCTGGTTAACCTATACTTGGATGTTTGAACCACAGAAACTGAGAAAATTAAAATTTATGGTATTTTGTTACACAGCCAAGTGACTGCAAGTCTCACCCTCAAAAAGTTCAGGCAAAGACAGGCTCTCATAACTGAAAAGTTCTTGCCCTTCTGCATTCTCTCCCCATCTGTTGCCCCACCTCTTCATGTTGACTGTATTCTCCCACAGGCCTGGGGCCCTGACAGCTCCAGATCTCACCATACTTTCTACATCACACCCTGTGAAATACAGCTGAATCATCTTTGCCTCAGTATTCTCAAGGAAAGTCTTGACATTTCTTACTGGCTGACACTTATCACGTGCCTAGGCCTGAATCTTATGCTCCACCATTGATCCAGGAGTGTAGCCCTGTCCGAAATTCTAGGGCTGAAAAAGAGGGGGAAGAGATTAATTTTAGTGATTGCCCTCAGATTTAAACACGCAACTTTAGCAAGTTTGTCTTCAAATAATATCCTGCTTCATGTATATTAAGTCTAAAGACCTTAATAGGAGATTCTCGTCTCCTTCCCTCCTCCGTTCATGCTGTCATACACTTTACTTTCCTCTAAAATCCCCTCTTCCCACTGCCTACCCAGCCTCACACTTGCAACCACCTGACTACATTTTATTGCTACCTATTAGTTTCCACTTTCTAGAATTTTATATGAATGCATTCACAGAGTATGGAGTCATTTTGGTCTGGCTTTCGGTCAGCAAAATTTTAAGGTTGATACATGTAGCATGTATCTTTTTTTATTGCTCATATTTCATATGGTTATACAATTCATTTATCCACATGCTATACATATACAATTAATTGCTAATATTTTTGCTTTAGACCCGGGGTTAGCAAAGAATGGCTCATCAGTAAGAACAATTTTTACAATTTTAAATGATTGGGAAAATCAAAAGTAGATTAATGGTACATAAAATTATATGAAATCCAAATCTCAGCCCATAGTTTTATTGAAACATAGTCATGCTCATTTATCTATTGTCCAAGACTGCTTTCATGCTACAACAGTGGAGTTGAGCAGTTCCAAGAGAGGACTCACAAACCTAAAATATATGCTCCATTACAGAAAGTTCGCTGACCTATTTTAGACTTATTTTTTAAGGTAATTAAAAATTCCTTTTCATTTATTCCACTTCCAGTGTTAATTTTGTTGTGTAGATCCACGTTTGCATTTTTTTCCCAAAAAACTTAATATTTCTTATATGTCTCCTGGCAATGTATTTCCTTAGTTTTTCTTTTGTCTAAGAAAGGCTGGATTTCTCTTTCATCGTGAGAGATATTTTCACTGGATATGATTCTGGGTTGACAGGTTTCTTTTTTTAAGACTAGTCATTCCATTGTCTTCTAGCCTGAATGGTTTCTATAATTCTTAGCTTCCTCCGTAATGTGTTACTTTATTCTCTGGGCTGCCTGTAGATTTTGTTTTCACATTTCAAATATATGCCTAATTGTGTGTAAAAGTTTAT